AAACTTTGCAAAGTAACTTCCGAATTCTTCTTCAGTCAAGTTAGCAGCCAAACCCCCTACAAAAATCTTCTTTGTCCTAAATTCATCAGAGCTCCTACCGTTATTAGTGCCACCAAAGTTTCTACTCAATCCCTTACCATACTGCAGTTGACTCTGTTGTTCACTCCTGGGAATTGCCCTTTTCACTTCCACCTAATAAAAGATGGAAAGTGCAGAATGAGCTTATCCTGGGACTCAGCATATTATTACCAATAAAACCCCAAGATTCAAAAATAGTGGCAGAGAAGAACAAAAATATCCAGATTCCAGAAGACTACAAACCCGAAAATCAAAGGGGTAAGAGTTATAACAAGGAACAGGTAGCAGCTCATTTATCAAGTAAAAGAAAAGGATAATGACGCCATTAACACACACACACACACACACACACACACACAAACGAAGATCCAGCCATGCATCGAGCACAACAAAACCAGAAGAAATTTAGAAAAATAAACCTTGATCAACACATAATTAAACGAAAGAAGAAAAATCACATATTTAAAAGCCCTAAATCTAAACACCATTCAGCCGCCACACTTTCTCTCTCAACACCGAAGGACGCAAACACACACACACACACGCAAGGCCCGAAAAATTACAAAGAAAAGGAGCTAAAAGTAGAAAAAACAACAAACTGACCGTTCTGCTAAGAATCTGATGGGAGTCCTGAAGCGCCCGATCAACGGCCGACGAATCAGAGAAGGTCACAAAGGCGAAACCCCTGGGCTGGCCCGAAACCCGATCCTTAGCAATCACAGAGCCCGAAACGACGCCGTATTTGTAGAAATGCTCGTTCAGAACATCCTCCGTCGTCTCCCACGAAATGCCCCCAACAAAGAGCTTATTCCGGTCAGCATCATCCATCTCCCTCCTCGACCCTAATTGCCCAAATCAATTGGCCACGAAAGTCGCCGGAAAAGAAAAGGGAACAAAAAAGTACAGATCAAGCGAAACTAGGGTTTTCTTTCTTGTGGAAATTTTTTGGGGGGAAGAGAAGCAAAAACTCGAAGGGTTAGAGAGAACGAAAGAAATAGAATTCTTGTTTTACTGTGCTTTTAAAGAGTCCCAAAAGAGAGGAGGGGCACTGTTTGATGAATGAATATGAATATGTAAATAGAATTTCAGGTGTCACGCTTTTCAACTACTAATTTTTGAGATGGTAAGGGTGAGCAAAGGTCGGTACGGTTTGGAGATTGATAGATTTTCGGAATCGTACAATATTCGAAGATCTCTAAAATTCGATCTCCAGAACCGTACCAAAGAATCGGTTCGGTTTGGTTCGGAGATTTTAATTTTTTAGTTCGGTTCGGTATTCGGGACTACCGGACCGGTTCGTCTCGGTTTGTTTCGGTTCGGATATTCGGAGATTTTTAATTATTTTTTAATCTCTTTTTGAATGACCATCTAGTTATATTTTACTTTTTATATATTTCTTTCTATAGATCCGACATTCATCAATATTTCATCATACTAAGGATTTTAGTTTTAAATCAACTTTACAAGTAACTCTAAATTTTAGTTAAGACTAAATTTGTGCAACGAACATTGAAAGTTTAAATTTCAAACAAAATATAACATTGTTTTTTATTAAATAATATGTCCTTAACATTTCTTACCATGTTAGTTATAAAATAGAATACTGCTAAGTATTGACAAATATTTAAGTAAATTTTTTTTTTTTTTCTTTTTAAATATTTCTTTAACCTTTCATCATTTTAAATATTTTATTTTGAAAAGGAAAAATTTCAATTGTAGATCAAGTATTACAAAGTATAAAATTTAAGTGAAGCTTAATTGTTATTATTATATTTTATTTGCATTTTAAAAATTCTCAAAATATATAGGATCAAAGTTGACATAAAATATATTAATAAATACACATCCATTTTTATAATTCGTTTCTTAATTTCGGTTATCGGGACGATTCGGTTCGGTTCTCGGTACGAATATTTATGAAATCTCCAGAACAGTACCAATTATTTTTTCGGCTCGGTTCGGTCCGGAGAAACTCAAAAGGTCAACGGTTATTTTTCGGTTTGGAGTGCTTTTGGTTCCAGTTTTTGAACGGTGCGGAATTCTCCGAGTTCCATGCTCAGCCCTAATCACCGTATATGCTAGTGAAATATACCTATTCAATTGCTTAATTAGCATGATTCACTAGTTACCGTTTATCTACTTTGGGTGGTTATTAAAAGTCGAGAATCTCTCAATTTTTTTAAAATTCTGGCTCTCTGAATTCTTTATTAGCAGTCGCCTCTCATTGTTATTTTGATGGTTTAGAAAATCGGACTGTACCAATAGGTCGGATCGGTTAGATCTGAAATAAGATATTTTGATAACAACATCATTATATAAAATATGTACAAAAAAATTACGCAATACATACAAATGTGCTTTAATTTGTTCAACAAATAAATATTAACTTTGAATAGAATAAGAAATAAATAAAAAATGAAATGCAATTTGGAAGAATAAAAGGTTGAATTCTCTTAGAGAATTATGAATATTAGTATCTAGAATTTTTTTTTTTTTTTAAAAAAAAACTACTACCCTTTTTTGTTGTTAATGTTTAGATATATGGTCACTGTAAGAAATTGGTTCTCATAAATAATGATCAAATATTATAAATTTTGAATTTTAAATATTAAAATTGTAATACATAACGTAGATTTTAATAATGACTTCTTAATAACAAAGTTCACGTGTGACTAAGAGTATCATAATATAATGGAATTCTAATCTTCTACTCGCATATATTTTGACAAATGATATGTTTCTCAATATTGTCTCAATGTTTCGTTTTGAATTGTCATTTTTGGAAAATCAAGAAAGGAACTTGATTTTTTGAAAAATTATTCTTCATGCAAAAAGTTGGACAATAAAATAATAAATAAGTTATTAGACACATAAATATTGGAATTCAAATGATATGTGAAAGATATTATGATAAACAACTCTAAAATCATTGCAACAACTAAAATGGTCAATTGCAAACAATATATTATGTAGTTTGTCTACCTTTTAAAAAATAACATTGAAAAGAGAATGCCGGGGCCTGATCAAAATATTTTTGAATGTATAAATGAAGATGTCACGTTTTTATATGAATTTTTACAATCTCATTGGTGTATGTTTGAACACATATGCTATTACTTTAGAATACATACCTTAATGTAATGTGTGATGAATTTAAAAAATAATTTAGCACCTCGAGTGAAGTGCAAGTAACCATAATTTTGGAAAGTCAGCTTTTATTTGAAGATGAAAATCATTCCCTCCATGGGGCAATGCCTCCATGGGATAAATGCCAGTTTGTCTATATGGAGAGAGTAATGTAGTAGTTTAATAATGATAAAAAAAATTATCAACAATTATAATGACACAAATGGTTATTTCACAAAGATATTAATGAAATGTTATTATATGTGATAATCGTACCAGGTCGACTAAACCGAGGAAGCAACCAAACCGAACCAAACCGAATGAACTATTAGGTCGAACAGGGAGTGAAATCTTCACAGGTCGAAGAGGACATCAATGATACGGAGAACGCCGACAGGTCGAATTAGGGCCTTTGGATGGCTTGATTGAAGTTCGACCTAAAGGTATATATGGCCGAATGATTGACCAGATGAGCAGAGTGTAGGAGCTCGATGTGGGTAGTGTTCTACTTCGAAGTAATCGGGTATAGACCTTCTAATGAATAAGACTAAGTTATAAGAAGAATTATTACCCCCACGTGGATAGGACCATACATGACCAACAAAATTGGCAGTTGAAACAGTACGAACGGGCAGTCTGGGCAGCACACATGAGAAAGCTTGGACAACAAGAAATCAGCTCTATATATAAGGGAGTGAGGTATGCCCTGAAAGAACTACATATATTTTCATTATGCATTCATTTTCTATAAGTGACAACTTAAGCTTTGGAACCTCTTCACCGGAAATCCCTCCGGTGTGAGATTCTGCAGGTCTTAAGGTGTTCAACCGGCGGAGGAGCTCAAGATCAGACTGATTCCAGACGATCAGAGATTTTGGTAGAAATACCTAATAAAGATCTTACAATCAATCATGAAGTTTGACTATATGTTTAGCCTGAATATTTCTAAGTGTTTGAATAAAGTAGATATTTTACGAAATGAATTAAGAAGACTTTGCAATAATATTGATATATTGGGTTCCAACGAGTATGAATGCTTTCTTATGAGAACGTTAAAACCAAAATGAAAA